AATCTATTTACCAGTAACTAAGTCAAGGAATCAACAAGGAAAGAAGTTATACCCTCCCTGCAGGGAAAGCTACTAGTTGTGAAGTAGAATTCTACCAGTTTGCGTTTCAGCCCAACTAGTTCACGTTCTATCCCTTTTCAATGTTAGCGACTGGTATTTTTAACATTGCGATGTCCTACGAGATGTCAATTGTCAGGCTATGCATCAGCATCTACTAGTAGAAATACTAGTAGCATCATACCAGTTGATGAGATAGTCTGCCAATTCATCCCCTATGAAAAGCATTAGTATGCCTTTTTGCTCGCGGCGCTCCAACAGTCGCAATGGCCGACAGAGCAAAGCACTCGCGTGGTATGCCTGAGGTACCAGGTTCAAGTCCGGGCGCAGGGAAATTTTTTTTATTTTATTTTTTTTTTTATATTTCTTTTATTTATATTTTTTATTTAGGGCTTTTTTGTTATTCTTAAATTTACTTTAAAAAAAATATTTTTTTTAATCTACTTTTTTATGGCACAAATATTTCTTCCCATATATTTGTTTCTTTTCTTTGTTATGCAACTAGATTTTTAAGTTTGTTATTTATATTTAAATTGAAATAATTATTCCTACTTACATTGATCTAACTTTAAAAATCTTAACCACCTCCAAGCGGCCTCGAACCTGCGATCCCAGAACCAGAACCAGTAGTCTTCACGTGACGCCACAGCCGACATTTGTAAGAAAAGCAATTAATTGCGTTTTATTTTAGACTTTGGCAATTCAAAGGCAGATGTCGCTGAACGCTTAAGTTCTTCGAAAATGTCGCACTGGAAGGCACATACTAGTCGCCGCCGCAAAGCCTGTCGGCGTAAACCTCTAGTACATACATATGCAAAATTTAAAATCTAATGGGACCACCCGCTGCTATGAGCCCTCGCGGCCGTCTCATTCATCGCCTTAAAAAATGCTTGCTGCGGCTTTCAAAATACTTTGATGTTGTTCTGCTAATTTTTACGAGTTCTCGTGTCTTGTTGTTGTGAATTGGCCATAGCGAGTTGATTCGTGTAGTTGTTGATATTGCACGAATGTACTTTGGTGGCGTGGTTTTTGTTAAATGTTACGTATGCATATGTATGTATGTATAAACGCCCGTCCGTACATGAATTCAAATGCAGCCGTCCACATAGCCAAAATTCGACAACGCTCACGCCAACACAAAGCAAAAAGATGGCCAACTCTCTTCTTTTGGCGTGCGTCGCTCGTCAGCTGTTGCAAATAAATAAAATTATGTAAAATATTTTTCCTTTTTAATGAAATGCGGGCAAGAAATATCGTTTTTAATGCAATTATTGATATGAAATATTAATTTATCTGTCGTTAGTATGTTAATTTAGTGGCCCAAGCATTCGCTGCCAAGCGTTCATTGTAGCAAGAATACTTTTAATGTGCGTTCTGTCAAACCAACGCCAACGCCAAAGCCAACAGGAAAGTTCTATTTGGACCGGCCTTAACGGTGCTTTTTACCGCTCACTAAATGGCATTAGTAGCCGATATGCAGATATCCATTTGCTGGTTCTGCCGTTGTTGTTGTCGGTGGCAGCAGTACTTCCCCTTGTACCAAGTACAGTTAATGAACGGGCACCGTGCCGTTTTAAATGGCGTTATGCGGCTTATGAGGTACTGCTGGTGTTGGTGGTGGCAGGGCTTCCCGTTGTGCGAAAAAATAAACGGGACAAAAATGCAGCACGGATTTTTATGCGGCGCTATATGGGTGACGCTGAACTGCTCCCCGTTATTGTCCACCGCAATGTAATTTTGCTCACCACCACCAACTCTGTGTGGCACTAGATGTATATTGTACACGCCTGCCGTCCAGGGTGTCAAAAAAATATTTTCTTCATGTTGGGCCCTCAGTCCGCTCATCGGATTGACACTCTCACAGACGTATATAATTGGTACTTGCTTACCCTGAACCTGCTGCTGTTGTAGGCTTCCTGATTTCTTGGGGCTTTGATGAGGTTGTCTCAACACCGGTAGCTGTTCTGACCTACGCGATGGTGTTCGGTGGTGATCCTACAGGGTTTTACTTAGCTAACTTTAGTTTTCTGTACTCTTACAAATTTGGCACGACCGTCTAATTGAAATGCGTATATCGAATGAAAATTAACATTCGTTTTTTCACTCGGTTTTATGTACCTGTGGAACGTATGTTCCAACAGGGCTACCAAATTACGACGGCGCTGAATAGTGCTGCCGTATTGCTAGCGATGCCATTACAAGACTTATAACCTTTTAACTTCTGGTTTTCTATATTTGTTTTACGCCCTATTGGAAAATTATAACTGGGACACATATAGACAAGTTTTAACAAACTATTGTTTATTTTAATTATATTACTTTTTTAATAGTGTATTCTCCGTATACCGTATAAACCGTATAAACTCTATGTAGTTTCAAACCTTGTGTAATATTTAAACAAAATTCAACGAACGTTCGTAAAAAATTCAAGTTTTTTATCAGAGCCCATCAAATTTAGTACAGTAAAGTGCTCAGCTGATGTTGCTGAAAAACCCTTTGGTTTTTGATATTTTTTTCTTAGCGGAGCTGTGCATTTTTTTCTATACGAAAAAATTTTAGAACGTACTTTTTATGTTTTTTTTAACAACACCAAACTAGACGTTGTCAAATAAGCAGCCTTTGTTATCGTTACCGCCAACAGCTGATTTTGCGCTAACGAATGTTGTTAGGTAAACGTTTACTGAATAGCTAAATTGATAAAATTATGATAGCGTAGTGAATCGCACTACAGGTCAATTTGCAGGGACGGTATTTTCACTTTCTGTTGATAATGGGTGGAAATATTACGAAATTTCATGTTCCAAGCTGCATAGATGGAGGAGTTATAACAAAAAATCGTAATCAATTGTATGGGAGCTATATTTATGTAATTTTTATCAAATAATAGGTTATTTTCATTGTAAGTATTCTGTTGTTAATGGATGGAAGTATGGCAAAATTTAATTTTCCTAGCTGCATAAATGGAGGAGTTATAACGAAAATTCTAATAACTGAGCAATCAGTTGTATCGGAGATGTACAGTATATTTTGCTTAGCTGCACATCCTTCTTTGCACGAAAAACTAGTGCACGTAACCGAAAAAGGCACTTAAGCGAATTTTCTTTACTACTTCAATGGGGAAGGTATCCGAATCCCTATGAAACCAAATATTGGCGGAGCACTTACCATGTAGAAATTACTGCAAGCGAAATTTTTACCGAATGTTATGTAATAAATACATACATTGAATACATAAATTGATAGCCATTTTCGTTGTTCTGCGAGATGAGCAAAATAAATAAAAGGTTGTAAAATTAGGTAATTGTAAGGCCAGTGCAGGTAAACGTAATACTTTCATTGATAATTGATACTAGTCGCACAATTTTTAAGGCAGGTATCGCCAATGTGCAGGTATGTTGAATGCATCTATCGGAGCAGTTTCCTTATAAATGTTAAAAATAATGCTTTTGATGCGCATTTTCGGGTAGGTATCTTAAATGTGCACTTAAGCATAGAGGCAGCAAAGCAAAATATACTGTATGTTATAGTAACCCGATCTTTGTTATTTTCACTGTAAGCATTTTGTTAATAATGAGCGAGAACGGTGCGAATTTTCATGTTCCTAGTTGCTTAAATGAAGAAGATATGGCAAAAAATCTCATATCTGAACAATCAGTTGTATTGGGGCTATAGGTTATAGCTACCCGATCTTCGCCATTTTCACTGAAAGTATTCTTTTGATAATAAGTGATAACCGTGCAAAATCTCATGTTCCCAGCTACTTAAATGGAGGAGTTATAACGAAAAATCGCATATCTGAACAATCAGTTGTATGGGAGCTATATGTTATAGTGGTCTGATTCTTCCAGTTCCGACAAATGATTAATACATTATAAAAATACACCCACCTACCAAATTTGATACGGATATCTCGAAAACTGAGAGACTAGATTGCATACAAACAGACGGACAGACAGACGGACATTGCTAAATCGACTCAGCTCGCCGTTCTGATCATTTAAGTATACATTTTAATGGGCCTGTCTCTTCTTATTCTGGTACTTACAAACATCGGACCAAAGCTTTAAGCTCATGAAAAGTATAAAAACAAACATTAAACTAACAAAAGAAAGATAGTCAAAGCTGTTTAAAATGCTTTGTCATTAGTTGCGTTCCAGATGCTTCACGATTAGAAAACAGCTGTTACTGCAAATCCTGTAAAACCTGCAAATCGTGAGGCATCTGGAACGCAACATGGCTGAATCCACTTACTAGAAGAGATTTTATGAATTTTCATATTGACTTACATTTAAACTAAAGTTTATTTGATGCCTTTTTCGTTTCTGTAGGATCGGGAGGAGAAGGCGGCCAAGTCAACTATACAACATCAGATTTCCCCGCGTCAAGGTCATGTCGCTAGTGCATTATCTCCACAGGAATCAATTCAAGAAGAACCCGAGACTGAAGTTAACGAGGTCCCACCGTTAATGCAAAGATTGCAGCTGCTTAAGAATAAGCAAGAAATGAATTGTAGCGAAACAAAATCTGGAGTAAGATAAGCTTTTTTCAATCATATGATGAAATTTTGTATTCAGATAATTTTTTTAATTTTAAGGGTATCTGGAGATATTTGTAGAAAGTTGCCACGTATTCGAAATTATTTATTATTATTAATTCTAAAAAGGCACAAAAGATTCACTAAAAAATTAAAGTTAAAAGACATCTCAAATTAAACAAACTACTATATACGATAGTTACCCTGCAGTGAAAACCCAAACCAGTTAGAAAAAATACTAGTTCATAAACTAGTATGTGCCTTCCAGTTCGATATTTTCGAAGAACTTAAGCGTTCAGCGACATCTGCCTTTGAATTGCCAAAGTCTAAAATAAAACGCAATTAATTGCTTTTCTTACAAATGTCGGCTGTGGCGTCACGTGAAGACTACTGGTTCTGATTCTGGGATCGCAGGTTCGAGGCCGCTTGGAGGTGGTTAAGATTTTTAAAGTTAGATCAATGTAAGTAGGAATAATTATTTCAATTTAAATATAAATAACAAACTTAAAAATCTAGTTGCATTACAAAAAAAAAGAAACAAAACAATGGGAAGAAATACTTGTGCCATAAAAAATAGATTACAAAAAATATATATATTTTTTAAATTAAATTTAAGAATAACAAAAAAAACCTAAATAAAAAATATAAATAAAAGAAATATTATAAAAAAAAAAAAATTTCCCTGCGCCCGGGCTTGAACCTGGTACCTCAGGCATACCAAGCGAGTGCTTTGCTCTGTCGGCCATTGCGACTGTTGGAGCGCCGCGAGCAAAAAGGCATACTAATGCTTTTCATAGGGGATTAATTGGCAGACTATCTCATCAACTGGTATGATGCTACTAGTATTTCTACTAGTAGATGCTGATGCATAGCCTGACAATTGATATATCGTAGGACATCGCAATGTTAAAAATACCAGTCGCTAACATTGAAAAGGGATAGAACGTGAACTAGTTGGGCTGAAACGCAAACTGGTAGAATTCTAGTTCACAACTAGTAGCTTTTCCTGCAGGGATAATACAATGCTCTGCAAAGCTCCTTGTTGGGAGCCACAGACGTGGTCATCCAAACAAACAGCTGCTTGCAGAAGAGCCCTCGCCAAGGCACGTCAGGAGGCATCTCTACGAGCTGACGGACGAAGTACAGAGGTTCATTAAACAACCTCTAGACCGGTCAGCTTAGCGACAGGCCCTGAGCGGCATTCACAGGGAATCAGTCTCAAGTTATGTAGACTTCCTCCCTTTGAATGCCGTTATAGGCACACAACCACCTGACGTGGACGGGATAAAACTTTGTCTGCCTCCGTAGACCCGCACTACAATAGCCCAACTTCGCTCTGGCTATTGCAGCAGGCTAAACTCATACCTGAGCAGAATTAATGAGGATGTGCCCAACCAATGCACGGCATGTGGAGAGTCGCCACATGACTCTCGGCACCTCTTCACATGCCCCGAGAACCCCACCCAGCTGACGCCCCTGTCCTTATGGACAGATCCTGTTGAAGTCGCACATTTCTTGGGCCTCCCCTTAGCTGAAACGGACGACGACGACAACGTTGACGGATGAACCGACCGGAGCGGGGCTTAGTAGCCGCTACAACAACAACAACAATGCTGATTTTACAGTCTCCGAACCATCAGGCCCGAAAAGAACAAGCGATATATATGTATATAAAATATAAAATAAAGCATAAAAAGTTGGTGGATATTTTTATTTTCTGTAGACTTACAAATACTTTGTACAAAGATTTTGTCTGCGAGGACCCCTAGTGAAATTTTTTGGCAAATAATTTTCTAGAATATTTTAACCCTATAGCGACCTTCAAAATGCCATTTTGTTCAGACTATCTAAAAAAAAGGGCCAAAACGAACCTTTTGTTATAGACCTAACGGGTTAAAATGTTCCACAAAATTATTCCTCGTAAAATTTTACTATACGTCCGAAACAACACATTTCTCTCCGATATGTATTTTAACTCTCTTTTTTCATTTCTCCTAAAGGCACTCAGGCAAAATATTTCAAATTTAAAATGGCCATAACACAGAAATTTGACCAAAGAATGTAAAAGATCCAGAGTTGCAATCATTCCGCCCCAGACAATGATCCTCAAATTGTTGCACAGTGTAATTATTGCTTGCCAATATGCGGTTTTTGCCCCAAACACCAATGCCCTATTTAAGCCGGTGTTAATCCGCAAACAGGATCAAAGATAATTCGCGGTCCTGTGGGTAACACATGTACGAGCGTTAAGTGAAAAAGAAGTTGAAAGTTTTGTGAAAGCTAAAACAATTAAAAGTGTTCGTGTTTTTTTACTGAATAGTAAGAAGCGCTAAATACACCGCAAAGAGCGGTCCAGCAGCGGTTACAAGTCATCACCGACCAGGAAGAAACCCGTTGAAAGGTAAGACCCTGCCAGGCAAAAACCACGACAAGGGCTAACGAGCTAAGGCCGGGCTACAACCATGCCTACCCACCGTGACTTCCGGTCCAGTACAAGCAGTTAGATAGCAATGGCGCCCAATGTTAACTTTATTACCTCTTTATCTATTTTCTCACAATTTTGTTTTAATTTTTATACCCGAGCGGACTTGTGCACAAGGGTATATTAATTTTGTTCACATAACGGTTGTTTGTAACAGCCAAAACGGATCGAGATAGATATAGACAAATGTATACATAAATGCTCAGAATGAATAGAGAAGTCGATTAAGCCATGTCTGTCTGTCCGTCCGTCTGTCCGCCTGTACGTCTGTCCGTCTGTCCGTCTGTCCGTCCGTCCGTGTACACGATAACTCGAGTAAAAATTTAG